ACTCACTTGGTAGCCCAGGCTGGCCTCGAACTCACAGAGATCCGCCTGGCTCTGCCTCCCAAGTGCTGGGATTAAAGGCGTGCGCCACCACCGCCCGGCCCAGACTTTGTTTTTATCCGAGCTGTGCCTGACATGGCTTATTTTTCTGTGGATGCTGTTGTGAGTCTGCTTTCCAAGATGCATTTTGCAGTTGTGTAGGTAGATTTGTAGTAGGGAAAACAGAAAATGCGAAAGAAGAGAGTATTTGCAATTCTTTTCCTTAGTGAGAAGGGATGTTTCTTTTTTCTTTCTTTCTTTTCTTCGAGACAGGGGTTTCACTGTGTAGCTCTGGCTATCCTAGAACTTGCTCTGTAGACCAGGCTGGCCTCGAACTCAGAGATCTGCCTGCCTCTGCCTCCCGAGTGCTGGGGTTAAAAATGTGGGCCACCACCACCCAGCTAAGTTTTTCATTTGGCCTATCCTACCAGACATAGATAGACAGGCAGATAGATAGATAGATAGATAGATAGATAGATAGAATATATACTTATATATAGAGAGAAAGAACACACACACACACACACACACATATATATAGAGAGAGATATTATACTTTGCTTGCAGTTTCTTTAAAATGACCTTTGTTTCATTTATCCCTTCTGTCTACTCCCTGCCCTTTTAATAATAGAAAACTTCCTGTTTGTGAGAATATGAACAATTAGGTATATACTTTAACAGTGGGTGTGAAAGAATTGAGTTTCATGAGTGAAAAATCTTACCTCCCTTTTCTCTTTGCTGTGACTTTATGGTTTTCTCATTCCTTGTCCAAAAACTCTGCTCTTTAAATGTATTAACTAAATTGAAACTTTCAGTGTCTAAACATCAGCCCAGAGGCTACTTTGGGTAGTGGGATAAGAGGCAGATGCGTTGGTTAAAAAAAAAAAAAAAAGTAAGGTAGAAGCTGAATCCTCTTTAACTTTTTCTTATGTTCTTACTATTCTGAGAGAGCTAGACAGGGTGAAATAATGTTATATAATTTGGCCCATTGAGAAATCTGGGCCAGGGTAATGGAAGTGTAAAAGTTTACAATTTCCTTGATCAAGTTTAAACTTTGACCATAATCTGAAGCTACACATACAAAGTTTGACCTTCTACAAGATTACTGTTGTGAGAACAAGGCTCTTGGAAGGAGACGCTGCCTTGCCAAGTTGTACTGCTTGTAGAAGAAGGCAGGAGCCTGCGTGTCTCTTCCAGGAGCCAGGGCTCTGGTTCCATCTGTCTTTGAAAGTGGAGAGCTTTCAGGGAAGGAGTGGACTCCTTAAAGGCCTTTGTCAAGACATAATGTGCTACCTACCATCCTGTTGGTGCCGATGTTGGTAGAGGTTGTGGATCTTACGTGTGAGCAGGAGTTTGTGGGTGGGTGTTTGCCTGGGATTGTGTATGCCAGTGTGAGCCTCCTTGCAGTCATTTCAGAAAAAGTGTGCGACCACTTTGCTCATTGCTCCCATCTTGGGAATTGTGACTTCTTCATGTCTTGTAAACTGGGGACACTCTTCTGTTTTGTTTTTACTAAGGGTTATGGAAGGTTGGATTTTTTTGGTCACTGTCATATGAGGGCAGAATATCGGAAAATATATGTCATTTGAGCTTGAACTAGTCAAGAAAAGAATGTGGCTGACTGTGTGGAAAAGAGAAAGCAGTGGCAGGCATCAAGCAGTTATGAAGTCTTAGTAAAAAGTGGCTGATTGAAATGTTTTATTGTTGTGGTCACCTGCTTCAGTCATTTGCTGTTTACTGGCAGTGGGATGTGTATGGGGTAGACTAACCTTCACTAGCACGTAATTGGCATTGGGTGTCAATTGGACTCTGTGTCACATAAAAACAGACAGAGTGACGGCAACTGAGTGATACCCTCATCTACCCTTGAAAAGACGTCTGAGGATTTCAGGGCAGCTGCACAGTGATTTCAGAGATCCATCATCCCAGCACCTGGCTTCCAACCTCACTGTCTCCTTTTGGTCCAAGATGGCCATGAAGGATACCCATTATTTGATTCAGGTACAGGCCTAAAGGAGGAAGGACAGCAGAGCCACAAAATACCTGCCTCCCTCAGCTGAGTCCATGCCCAGTAGATTCCCAGAGACCCTGTTTAAAGTCACGTTCTTGCCGTAATTGGCCAGAACATGCTAGCTGAAGAAGGGGCTTAGAAATAGGAAGGGGGCCCCCCTAATAGTCAAGGTCTGTTCCACAGATGGGCCTAGGTCACAGAAGAAGCAGCCAGCAGCCTTGCTGTGGATAGCCAAGGGAGTCAGCCAGGCCCTGAGATGGAAGACTCAGACCTCTTTTAAAACTAATGGCTTGTGCTACTTTACAGTATTGCATCAGTGACTTGAACATCACGGCTTTAAAGTACTTGTAAAAAGCCACTGCCTATAAAAACGGGTCTGTGTCGGCCTATTTCTTCAAACTGGGGAAGACCAGTTACTTGTTACTAGAGGCACTGGAGAATGATGATCTGTTATGGGAAATCTTATCTTTTGGGGGTGGTAGGTGGGGTCAGGATTTTGTGTGGTGGGTGGTTTGCTAGGAAGACATTCAGCAAAATGGCAGTTGGATAGTGCCATAAAAAGCTGCGAAGTATGGCTGGTGAGATGGCTTAGAAGGTAGTGGTGCCTGCTGCAAAACTTGATGAGCTGAATCCACTCTTGGGACTTACGTGGCGAAAGGAGAGAACTGACTCCCAGAAGTTGGACACGCACAGACACAGACATACAGACACACAGACACAGACACACACACAGAGAGAGAGAGAGAGAGAGAGAGAGAGAGAGAGAGAGAGAGAGAGAGAGAGAGAAAATAAAGTAAATGTAATAATGTAATAAGAAAGTTGTTTTTTTTTTTAATTACGAGGTTGGCGATATAGCTCAGTGGTAGGGTGCTTGCCTAGCATGTACAGGCCTTGGGTTCAAGCCCTAGCCCTGCCCAAAGTAAAAGTAAAATGAGCCAGGCAGTGGTGGGACATGCCTTTAATCCCAGTACTTGGGAGGTAGAGGCAGGCGGATCTCTGTGAGTTTGAGGCCAGCCTGGTCTACAGAGTGAGTTCCAGGACAGCCAGGGCTACACAGAGAAACTATGTCTCAAATAACTAAAAGAGAAAGACACACGGCGGGGTGGGTGGGGGTGGGTGGGGGTGGGTGGGGGATGACTATGAAAAGGCCTTGGGAAATATATGGACTTACAAAGGAAGATAATGTTGCTACTTCATTTTAATTTAATATCTGTTTTCCTTCTCTTAAAAGACACAGGTTAAAACAATGTTTCTGGTTTTTTTTTTCCTATGTGTTTATGAATTTTTTAAATGCCTACCTTTAGTATCTTGATAAACACACTGCTTGGTGTGTGCTTGTATTCCTGGTCCTGCCAGTTTCCTTATGTTCCTGGGCTCTAGACTGGTGCTTGTCCACTCCTGTTGTTCAGCAGGGTATCTCACTGTTCCTTTATGGACAGTGGTGTATCTCACTGTTATTCTGTGGACAGCAGGATATCTCACTGTTACTGTGTGGACAGTGGAGTATGTCACTGTTACTCTGTGAACAGTGGGATATCTCATTATTACTCTGTGGTCAGCGGGGTATCTCATTGTTCCTTTATGGATAGTGGGGTATCTCACTGCTATTCTGTGGACAGCAGGGTATCTCACTGTTCCTTTGTATGGCCCTTTTGTAAAGCTTTTTAATTTCCTTATATTTATGAATAGTATCAGTCTGCTTGCTGAGCCATAGCATCCAAATTGTGTTCAAGTTTGGTTTATCTCCTGCCTGTGCCTTCAGTAGATCTCAAGTAGGTTGTTTATGTTTGTGAGTTTTGAAGGTGGAGTCTCCTATAGTCTAGGTTGGCCTTGAACTAGCTCTGTAGGCAAGGCTAGGCAACTCATTCTTTAGTCCTTGCAG